GTCCCTGGAAGATCCCAGTGCTGATTGGCTATCACGGCACGAACAGGTTGCTGAAGTTTTGAGTTGTCTCCTGAATAAACGCACTACATTAAATCACGCTCCTCGCTTCATAACTTGTGTATTTTGCTTTGCGACCATTGTGCCGCCCGGCAGGAATTCGCGTCTGTCCTTATGTCATGTGTAGGGGGCGTCACCTATGCTAACAGGTGACTTATGATCAAGTGAGATTCATCATTGAGCACAGCTGGGTCAGAGCAGATCTGACTTCTCTTATTTTTTGTCTTCACAGAAAATTAACAGAAAATGTAAGAAACAATTAAAGAGAATGTTTCTGCATGAGGCCCAGTGTCACACACAGTCATTTGATCCATTGTCAAAATAAAAATATTGATTAGTGTAGCTTTAAGGAGGTGGCACGTAAACATTAAGTTTCGTCTTCTCTGTCCAGAATCAAAAGTTAAAGTACCCTTCATGCAGGACGGCCTGTCAGTGTTATTATGTGTTGTGTTACTGGATATTTGTCACTGATTCATGTGTGTGGAAGCAGCACAGTCCTGTCAGAGCCAATTTAAACTTCTTCAACTGTTTTCTTTTTTACTATATGACAGTGCATTGTGTTTTCTGTGCTCTAATTAGGTCCTAATCTGTAAAGTAATCAGTAACTGTGCTGCTCACTGATTGGTTGCCTCTGTGGACATTTTCTCAATGTAAAATAAAAATAAACAAAACAAACTGTCATGTATAAAAAGCCAGAGAGGGCGTGCATGTAATTATTATTTCTTTATTTTTCCCTGAGGATCATTAGAGTTGACATATCCCTGTTTTCCTGTGATAACAAAGTAATTACTCTGCGCTGACACTCACTGTAAAGCTGTTTACCCGTTATCACTAAATAATTACTCTTTGATTTTGAGTTTTGACACTTTGTGTTGAGATGAAGGAATAATTGCTTGTTCTGTTGAGATAATACGACTTATTATCTTTCTCAAGTAGACAAGCTTGTTAAGCGTCATGTCATAACAATATTTAAGCATCTCTAAAATAAATACTAAAATACTTCAGCCCTCTGTAGCTTCACTGTGTGTCAGTTGTGTTTAAGGCTCAGAGGAAAGACAAATCGTTTCATCATTATCTCCAAGAATCACACATCTGTCTCAAACGGCTTCACAATGTGTCCGTCTTTAGACCTTTAGCTGTTTCTGTGTCTGACCTTTGACCTCCTCTGTGCAGAGATCAGAGAGGAGGAGGGACAGAACAGCTTATTTGGCTCCTGGAGATCAATTATGTGTCACATTTCATTGATCTGCACTTAGTGTGGCTTGATGACTGAGCACCAGCTCAATGACACACATGTAAATATTCTGAATCATGACGTTTATCATTAATCACTTCATTAGGATCACGGCCACTATCACCATTTTAACACTGGGGGCCCGTTTTGTGGCTCTGGGGGGAAATGCCCTGCACGAGAAATTTTTCTAAGTCAAACTGACCATTTTAGAGCGTGTCACAGTGATGTCATCTTATCACGTGCAGCTGCCCCTCTCCCACAGGGCTGTAGCCCACATAGGAGTGTTAAAATGTGTTTGTCTTGTTGTGTTATTGGGAGCCAGAATAGAAGGAGTCATGGCTCAAAACCAGCCGCCACTGCCCGTCAACAAAAACAAAGACAACTATGGTTAAATGTGATAAGACCAAAGGACTGGACGGAGGCCATCATCAAAAATGCTCACATGTGCAGCGCACACTTATGGAAGCGTATTGCATTCACTTGACAAATAAAAAAAAAAGCCGTGTTTTTCTGAGTAATTTATTTCTTTTTCTGTTTTTCGTGGTAATTTTTTTTCCTGAACAAGCAGACGAGATACTTCAAAATCTCGTGAGAAGCTCCCACCTGGCACCTGCAAGTGACCCCTGCATCCATGGTGACTCATGCTCATGGATGTATTTTGCATCCGTGCTCCTGCTCATTTCAACTACGGGATCAATAAGGGAAAGGCGATAGACCTACACTGGAAGGATGCAGTCGAAAACATAGCTAGATTATCATACCCTGTGTGTAACTAATTACGTGCCTTTCCCTTATTGATCCCGTAGTTGAAATTGTCTAGGAGCAGGAGCACGGATGCAAAATACATCCATGAGCAGGAGTCACCATGGATGCAGGGGTCAGATGCAGGTGCCAGGTGGGAGCTTCTCACGAGATTTTGAAGTATCTCGTCTCATCGTTCAGGGAAAAAAAATACCCCGAAAAACAGAAAAAAATTACACCAAAAAAAAAACAACAACAGAAAAATAAATAAATTACTCAGAAAAACAGGGCTTTTTTATTTGTCAAGTGAATGCAATACGCTTCCGTACACACTTCATATCAGGTCAGGGAAAAGTATTTCCTGTTGTAGGGATGAATAAGGTTATGTGTATTAAGGGTTATCATGTCCACCTCATCAGAAACTGGGGAGGGATTAAGAGGAATATTGGATTTCTCTGGAACGCTAACTTTTTAGCACATTAGCTAACGTTAGCTTCCATAGCAAAACAAACAAGTGTGGTCCTCCTTTGTAAGATTGGCTTCCTGTGACATCATCCATCCACTGAGTGAGAGCATACGGGTCGGCCAGTCTGGTCCCGTTGGTCAGTGTTTACTTATTCAAGTAACACTGGCGGTCCCGGAGAGTGAGTGACCTGACATGGTGCGTTGGTAAATTCAGTCTGACG